CAATATTCGTTGTCTGCCCATAATGACACAATCTCAGCATTGGTAAAGGGCACCACAATTTCAGCTGGATCTATTCCAACCAGTTGATGAAGTCTCGTTTTTCCTTTTAGGATCAATTCAGAAACCTTTTCTATATAGGTTTTTAGTTTTTTATTTTGCTTGTGTGCCAAAAATATCCATTCTAAAATACAGTCCTCCCTCTGCATAAGAATTCCTGTGGGAGAATGAGTGGAGGGCAAAATAACCAAAATACAGGTCCTCTTTGGATCAATACGGTCTATACATGCATCTTGTAATTTCCTTTCTACCAGAGCCAATTCTTTTCAGCTTCAGCTGATAACGTTCTTGGACTATTTAAGTCCTTATCACCCTGTAAGGTTTGAAATAAGTTACTTAGCTCTTGAGTAGCTAAACCAAGGGTAGGCCGTAGCCAGTTAATATCTCCCAGCAATTTTTGAAAATCATTAAGAGTTCTTAACTGGTTTTTTCTAATTTGTACTTTTTGTGGTCGAATTTTCTGTAGACCTATTTTATATCCTAGGTAATTAATAGAATCTCCTCTTTGTATTTTTTCAGGAGCAATCTGTAATCCCCAACAAGGCAAAGTTCTGTTTATTTCATCAAAAATATTTTCTAATGTTTTCGTATCTGAATCAGCTAATAAGATATCGTCCATATAGTGGTAAATTATGGATTGAGGAAACTGCTTACGAATTACCTCCAACGGTTGTACAAAATATTGGCACAAAGTGGGACTGTTTAACATCCCCTGTGGTAAGACCCTCCAGCTTCTGTTCAAAGTGGGTACTGAGAAAGCAAACCTTTCCCTATCATGTTCATGTAAAGGAATTGTGAAAAAGCAATCCTTTAAATCAATCACTATAATAGCCCATTCTTTAGGTAACAAGGAAGGCAATGGGATTCCGGATTGTAACGATCCCAGTGGCTGAATAATTTTGTTAATTGCTCTTAGATCTGTTAACATCCTCCACTTGTCAGATTTCTTTTTGATGACAAATACCAGAGAATTACAAGGGCTGTTGGACTCCTCTCTATGCTGAGCCTCCAGCTGTTCCAGGACTAGCTGTTCTAGTGCCAGGAATTTTTCTTTACTCATAGACCATTGTTCAATCCAAATAGGTTGGTTTGCCAACCACCTTAGTGGTAAGGCTGTGGGAATTTTATTAGCAGTGGCTTCCCAACAGGCAGTTGAAAGGAATGCCTCTGCTGAATTTGTTTATGGACAGCCTGGACAGTCTGAAACTGTTTTTGATGACATTTTTTAATAATTTTAGCTTCTTTATCAGGAGTATTACCTGTTTTTTGGCTTGTCTCAGAACGTGGGGGGATGTTAATCTGGGTCTTCCATTGTTGTAGCAGATCTCTTCCACATCAGTTATGGCTATCTCAGCCACATATGGTCTCAGTTTTCCTGTTTGACCTTTTCGTCCTGTACATTTAACACTTTGTTTCACTTTAGATAAAGTTCCAGCTCCTTAGAAATAAATATCCACCTCCTGAAGTGGCCAATTTGGAGGCCAGGATTTAGAAGTAATAATTGTGACATTAGCCCCAGTATCTACCAAGCCTTCAATTTCAACAGTATTTAAAATTATCTTTAACTTTGGCCTTTGATCATTTATAGAGGTTTGCCAATATATTTGTTTTTTGTTCTCTTCCTGGTTTTTTGATTTATCTATAGAATCTGCTTTGGCATCGCTGTCCAAGTTTTTGATGTTTATTCCCAGAGCAGTGGTGTTTAATTTTCTTGTGGAGGAGTATCCCTGTCCTGTTCTGGGGCCTGCAAGAGGCCCCCTTGGGCGTTTTTTGGTAAAGGATTACCCCATTTATCTGTGACTGCTCTACATTCACTAGGCCAGTGACGACCCTTGCCACATCTTCTGCATATTCTAGGAAGCATAGGCTCCCTTCTTGAATTATTTTGGTTTTCCTGGTAATTTCTTCTGTAGTAATCTCGCCCATCACAATTACAACATTTCCCAAGGTCTTTTGGGGTAGCTTCTCCTATCAAGGTCAAATTGGGTGAATGAGGTCTGATGTCAATCGTATTTCTAATCCATCCGTCTCTTGGTGCAAATCTTGCTCTTAATGGCCTATTGCCTCTTTGCATTCAGTATTAGCATTTTCAAAAGCTAAAGATTCTATTAGTGCTTTTCTAGCTAGTGGATCTGATATACTTCTATCCACAGCTGAAGTCAGTCTTTGCAAAAAGTTAGTAAATGTTTCACTTGGACCTTGTATGACCTGGGAGAATGGCTCGAGCCTTTTTCCTGATTCCTCAACCTTGTCTCAAGCTGCTAGGCGACATAATGCTAAGGTTTCTTCGTTATATACAGCTTGTATCTCTGTGTCAGCATACTGGCCATCACCAGGCAGCTGTTCCTTAGAAACACCAACACCTCTGGCTCTGTTTTTGTGTGCTATCTCTCTAGCCTCTTCTCTCCACCATGACAGCCATTGTAAATATGGCCCAGGTTCTAATATTGCCTTTGCCATATCCTCCCAATCCTAGGGGATTACTCTACTTTTGATTGACCAGGAAGTCAACATTTGTTTTACAAATGGTGAATGCATTCCTAAATTAGTGACACTTTCCTTAAATTTCCTCAGATCTAGCACTTCCACAGGGCGCCATTCAGCGTCATGATAATTCAGTGGATGATCATCATCTGCTGGTCTCTGCTGTATAGTGACTGGATAAGCCAACGTTTGTTTTCTAACCACCTTTGGTTGGCTTTCTTTATTTTTGTCTTTTGCCTCTACCTGAGTAGTTACTTAGTATTCTAAACTCTTCTCTTAAGGTCTGCACCCACATTTCATACCTATCTCCCTGTTGTTTGTTTTGTTCAATAATCTCTTGAATCTCTTGTTTTATGCCTCTCTTCCAACTTTTAATTTTTTCTTTATATTGTTCTAGTTGTTCTTTGTGCTGTTCCAGTATCTTTTCTAAAACTTCTGCCCTATCTTCCTGTTGTTTATTCCATTCTGTAAGTTTTGTATCTCTTGTTTTAGGTCCTGTTTCCAGTCTTCATTTTTTCCTTTATATTGTTCTAGTTGTTCTTTGTGCTGTTCCAGTATATTTTCTAAAACCTCTGCCCTATCTTCCTGTTGTTTATTCCATTCTGCATGTTTTTGTATTTCTTGTTTTATTTCCTGTTTCCAACCTTCATTTTTTTCTTTTATATTGTTCTAGTATCTTTTCTAAAGCCTCTGCTAATGCAATGATTAAAGTTAAATTGAGGACTATGAATGTAAGCATAGTCACAATTTCTAGACTTTCCTTTATTTCAGTCTTAAAACCATAGAATAGATTATCAGCCAAGCTCCAAGAAGTCTGTTTTATTGTTTCTCCCACCCTGTTAGACTGTAGTGGCAGCTAGTTTTGTGATGTTAAGTCTGAGGTTAAGTCTGCCCACAGTAGGCTGCCTTTTGCTCCAAGGCCTGTTTAAGAGTCTCTCTTAAAGAGACAATAACTGACTTGGGAGTTTTTAGATTTTAAGTTTGGTTTGCATCACTGGGAGCTTATTCCCCCCTCCAAATTATGTTTAAGTAAGATTTAAAAGGTGTGGATTCTTAGATTAGTTGGGCACCATCTGTTGTATGGGCAATTAAAATTTACTATGGGTTTAACTTCTAGTAATGCTGCTGTTAATCCTCAGCGGCTGTATAACCAAATCACCACACAGAGACTGGGTTTTTAGTTAACCTAGAACACAATGCTGGGCAATATTTACTCCCTCCTAAACCTCCAAGCCCTCAGTTTCCTAACATTTAGATTTCCCACATTATACTTGCTTTTTGTGAAATCTTAGGTCTGGTTCATGCTCCATGACCTCCAAGATCTCTCCTCCAGCTCTGCTCTCCTTGCTTTCCCCTCGCCCCTTCTCCCCCCACTCCTCTCCCACCTTCTGGCTCCTCCCCTCTTTCCTGTCCTCTGGCTCCTCCCTGCTCAACATTGTGTTTAATTGCTTTATTTTGTCCTGTTTACACAGAGACAGGATACTTAGAATGAGTATCACAATGCAATATCCGGATTGGGGGTGGGGTGGGGGAGAAATCAGTATTTGAATGAACAAGGGTAAGGTGTATACATTAAAAAAAAAATCAAACATTATACCAACAGAAGACCTTAAGAGTCTGAAGTACAGTACAGCTGAGTGCAGTTGAGTTCAGAGGCAGTTTTTCCAAGCAGAGAAATTCAGTGCTAAGCAGAGAGAAGCCAGTTTGAATCAGTCAGCTAGGAGAGGATTTTTGAGCCAGAACAACTGAGTTGAATCAGCCAGCCTGAGTTCAGAGAGAGCTAGTAAGAGTGAACTTATTCAGCTGCAAGTGTAAGTGTCAGAGGCTGAAAACATTCTAGATTTAGGTTGTCAGCAGATGGAGGCTGGAAGCTGAAGCCTTCAAGGTCCAGGTTTGCAGAAGATTAGATTGTAGGAAGGCTAGGTGCTTCCAGGAGTAGACCTAGAGAAAATTAGATAGAAATCTCTCTGAGCTCAGGGGGACAGTTGTTTGTTTGTAGTTTTTATTTTGTTTTAAAGATTTATTTACTTACTATGTATACACTGTTCTATCTGCATGTATACCTGCACGCCAGAAGAGGGCACCAGATCTCATTCTAGATGCTTGTGAGCCACCATGTGGTTGCTGGGAACTGAACTCAGGACCTCTGGAAGAGCAGCCAGTGCTCCTATCCTCTGAGCCATCTCCCCAGCCCTTGGGTACAGCTTTTATCTCATCCCCACATCTGAGGAAATAAAAACAATACTTACAAGTGTGGTCTACAGAGTGAGTCCAGGACAGCCAGGGCTACACAGAGAAACCCTGTCTCAAAAAACAAAACAAAAGCAACAACTTTAATATATATATATATATATATATATATATATATATATATATATATATATGGTTAAGGCTAGGGGGTTAGGGTTGGGTAATAAACATTTTGAAAATGGAGGTGTTCTTGTCTCTTCCCTCAACAGAACAGCCACAGGAGGATTGTCAGTACTACACCATTCTCATGGCAGAAAAAGTGAGATCATTGGAAAATGCCTCCTGCAGAAACATGTTCCCAAGCCAGGAAGAGATCCAGGAACTGGCTTTACTACTCCAGATTAAGGACATGATAGTTCAGGTTGGTATATGGAGTGTGTCTGAGTAGTCACCAACCCAGGGCATAATATGAGCTCTGTTTTATTATTATTTAAAGTTTTACAACCATTTGTGTGCGTGTGTGTATACCTGCTTCTCTGTGTCATGTGCACCGCGTGTGTGTGTGTCTGGAGGAGGCCCAAAGAGGCTGCCGTAGCCATGAGAGAGGTGAGTGCTCCTAACTGCCGGGGTCTCTACACTTCGACCCCCTTCTGCTTGACGAGGGAACACCTCACATATCTAACAAGGCTAGTGTCGATCGCTGATCTTCCTGCCTTCATCTTCCAAAGTTCTGCATTGCAGGCATATGCCCCAGGCCTGATTTTCAATGATACATTGATATTAGTTTATTCTTGAGACAGGCTCTCACTGACCTGGAACTTGCTATGTAGCCCAGGCTGGCCTCAAACTCACAGAGATACCTCTGCCTTTGCCTCCTGAGTACTGGGATTAAAGGTGAGGACCCCATCCTTTGCCTTCAAAGTTTTTGTTTGTTTGTTTGTTTGTTTGTTTGTTTGTTTTTAATGGTCCCTGTTTATCGACAGTGGTATTGTTCAGGAATGGATGCTAAATAGACACTGGGTGTTTTTATTTCTATGACCACGCACTTTAGTGGGGTACACTAAGGCTCCCTTCAAGGGTTATAAAGACAAGAGCTACAGTGGGCTAACTAGGACCTTTTCTTTCTTCCTTTCTGGGGTTTCTCTGTGTAGCCCTGGGTGTCCTGGAACTCAGCTCTGCTGACCACCTGCGTCTGTCTCCAGAGTGCTGGGATTAAGGGCGTGCACTGCCTCTGCCCACCCAGGACCTTCTTAGAGGAGCTGGTTGCTGTATTACCCTGTGTTGTATTGATTAAACAATGCACTCGGGTTTTTTTTTTTTTTTTTTTTTTTTACTGTTTTATTTTACTTTATTTGAGACAGGGTCATATTTAGCCTAGGCTGGCTACACACATATACGGTTGAAGGCAACCTTGAACTCCTCACCCTCCTGCCTCCGCCTCCCAGGCGCTGGGCTCGCAGGTGTGTGCCACTGCGCATGGCTCAGAATATTGTCCGTGACAGGGCGACAGTGCAGAGCCCTCTTCCTTTACTGTCTTGTGAGCGAGGCTTGGAACACTCTGCCTGTTCTGGCCGCTTGTTAGTCTCACGCACCTCCCTCCAGGGACCCAGGACAGGAAGCCTGGAAGGAGCATATTAAATAACTCCCAGCTTCCTCAGCCGGGCACCATACATTTCTGCTCTGGCCTCATCCCTGTATTAACCTGCTCGCTCTCGGGCTAATGGTGATGGGGGCGGGGCGCCAGCCGCGAGAGTGATTGCCTTGAATGCTCAAGCCCCGGGTTCTACTGACTCTACTGGCCCTGTCTCAAAAAATAGATGAATAAAAGAAATTCCTGGGACTGGAGCGATGGTTCAGTGGTTAAGAGCAGTCCCTGTTCTTGCAGGAGGCATGGGTTCAATTCCCAGCACCCATATGGAGGCCCACAGCCACCTGTAACTCCAGCTTGAGGGGATCTGATACCTTCTTCTGCTCTCCACGTCCACAGGCACCGCACTCATGTGCATAGAAACACAATTAAAAAAAATCCCTGTGTGGTGGTGCTCGCCGTTAATCCTGGCGCTAGGGAGGCAGAGGCAGGTGGATCTCTGTGAGTTCCAGGCCAGCCTGGGCTACAGAGTGAGTCCCAGAGCAGCCAGGGCTACACAGAGAAACCCTGTCTCAAAAAAATAAAAAACAAAACTATATTTGTATATGTAATACATAAATCATGTTAAATGTGTATATTAAATATGTGAATTAAAGCCCCTTTTAAAAAGATGAGCGGTTGATAGAGTCCAGCACACACGCAGCATTGGCGATGACCAGCTGGTGGCTGTGTTTCTCTCTGTGACTCTTAGACTCCCAGGCTGGTAGCCTTGCTATCTGGGGCTCTCTCTGTATACAGTTTAATTCTATATGTACGGGGTAACTCTGCACAAACTTTAATTCCTTGGGGCCTTGTGTGCACCAGCGACACACCCGTTCATGAGCCATGTAAAAATGAGTGGAAGCTCGCTCGCTTCTGCCGATCCAGCGTGCAGTGGCTCCCAGCAAATTATTTCTAAAAAAAAATTAAAAACTATTTTTTCTTCTCAGGCATGGTTTGAACAGTATCAAGGCAAAGTGCTGACAAAGCACAGAAACTGCCAGTGTTATCTGTCTGCGGCATCCTCCAACCAGGCCGTGCCGGCAACGTCTGCATCCTCCAACCGGGCTATGCCAATGG